CTGGTTTAGGTGCCGGCGCTTTGGGCTGCGAGTTCCTGAAGAGCTTTGCCATGAGCCTCGGCAGCTTTCGTGTTTACGTCGAAGCTAACCTACTTCCTCTCTTGCAGTTCGGGCACATACTGGGCCGAGAAGGCCTGAAGAGAAGCTCAAGGCCTGGAATTTACGTGAGTTTAGACGTCTATGTCTAGGTCGCACATCTCTTCGTCACGTTACGGCTCGAACGAACAGTTTCGAATCCCGCCCCGTCCATAGTATAACAACGCTTGGATGTGCACCCGATAGCCTGACTTCACAACCCAGCTCCAAGAGCGGTCCGATTGCCTTTCAGGATTGGAGCTTCTTGTGGCAGTGGGAAGGTCCTGGTGACTGACATGGACAGGATAGAGGCACTTTTTGGGAGGCTTTGTTAAGTGTGCTATGCTACCACTTTGGGGCAGAAAGGGTGTTGTTGTCTATGAATTTCTTGAAGGCTGATAAACGAGAATCCTGCTGAAAGGTTGGTAGAACAAGAAACACCGCACAAAACTCAAGGTTCCATGTTTCGAGGCAGCCCGCAGAGCTTCCCGGCACGTGAGCAGCCTTGACAGATCTCCAACCTCAACCGGCAGTTCTTATTTCGCCAGCCGCGCACCTAGATTGCTTTGCAGTGCATTGCTGGACTACCGCCTGGATGCGGCAGCAATATTTTCAAAGGCAGCCCTATTCAGCAACGGAAAGGAGAGTTAGGCTGAAGGTCACTCCGGATGCATCAACGGTATTCAGCATCTGACACATGTGTTTGCGTATGTCTTGCCAGGGGGGTGATAAGCCATCTGTTGTTCAAAACCTGCCATGTAACCTGCGGCCTCGACCCCGACAAACTTGGAACGTTAATTGTCAGCAGCGAGAAATACAGAGTGTGTGGTTTGTTGTTTTGGGGTGAGTGTCGAAGGTGATGAAGAGAAGTCACTTCGGATTGTGCATTGCGGGGTGTCGCGCGCACACACACACACACACCAGCCTTGCGATGATGGCTCCATTCTGTCCGATTTTGAGCAGCTGGGGTGATGTTGCCATTGGCAGATAGTTTTGACATTGGATGTCTAGGGTTTCGGGCTCATGGCTCCGAGGGTAGAATAACCCGGCCTTTGACCTGAGCTTCTGATGTGGCCCAGCCGTTGTGGCTACCAGATTCCAGGACACGGCTGTTTTGTGTTTTACCCAGAGCTCGAATCGATTTCCCATGATAAACAGCCAGACTGGCAGGAAGGTACTGCACAAGCAACTCACTGCGATGTCTTTTGCCGCCTGAATCCAAAGACTGTTTCAGAGCGGCCATGGGCGGTGGTGGTCGTGGTGGTGGTCGTTCGAAGAAAGGCCTCGTTCTGCAAAGAAGCTGCTTCTCACATGACTTTCATAAGGCAAACTCCAAAGCTTGAACCTTCGGCTCTGAGGGTGTGTCGGCTCCACGGTTGTGGCAGACGAAGCCAAGATCGACAAGAAAGCCAGCTTTCGGCAAAGTCTGCCCTGTCGGCAGGCGAAGTCCAAGCCAATCCGGCCGAAGCCAGTGCGGTCGATCCGAAGGCGAGAAAACATGCAGGATACCAGCTCTGCTTCAGGGCCAAAAACTGAGAAAAAGCTCCGATGGAGGACGTCTCCCTATTTAACCCTTCGGCCAAGCAGCCCTGCTTCAGAAAGATGCCAGGTGATCAGTGAGATTCTGGAGCGCCTGGCCAAGCTCGAAAAGTGGAAGGTCGGGGGCTTTGGAGGGGTCTTCCGGTGCTTTGCGTTTGCAGCAGTGTTGAAGGGTTTGGGCCTTGAGTCACGAGATGCCCACAGTGAAGGGCGACGTGGGTCCTGGGGCATGTTGGGGATGTCCTGCCAGGCGAAGTGGAAAGAAAGGAAGCGGCAAAAAAAAGAAAAGGCTGACAAACAAAAAAAGAAGAGATCGCTCCGGAAGAACGAGGAAGAGGAGGATGCGAAAGCCATAGAGCCCTTTGTAGTGTCATTTCAGGTGTCGTTTAGCGGAGTCTCATTCGCTCGGTGGCGCGATGCCAGATTGGATTGATATGTTGTCTTGTGGGCTGCTGCGTTCTTTTCTCGGACAATATGGTGGCTTCGGGTTATCGGCCTGAAGTTCCTGAAGTATTTCGGTGGTGTCAGCAAGTCTCTGCAGAGCCCTCAGTGCAAATGCGCTCTATCATCTCTTCGGTTCACGGTCCGTTCGTGAATGAACTCCAGCGCCTATGACAGCTTGAGCCTTCAAGTCTTGAGACCTCGAGAGGCTCTTGCATTCCAAGGATCTGACAGTTGCGAAAGCCTTATCCGCTCAACCAGCTATGATGTCAGTGTGAGCATTTCCTGCTCATTCCTTGTAGTGCCCTTTCAAGAGCTACTTTCAAGATTGTTGCAGATGTCGGGGCCAGGTAGGTATGTTTTAACATCGTTTTGCTAAGCAACATGTTTTAACAGATCTCAAACGCAGTGCGAGTGGTGGACGAGCCTTACAGAGCCCTTTCGAAAAGAGCGCCTAGGCCTAAACCACCTCAATCCGCAATCAGCCTCCACTGCAATAGCCTGCAAGCCCGAGTTCAAACACGACTCCAGCCAGCCGGCTTCGTCATAGGAGCGGACCAAGAAGCGAGCCAAGAAGGATGTTAGCAGCGCGCAGCGTGACAGCACGGAAGCACGGAAGACCGAAGCCCGAATCCTCTTATCTAAGTACCTTAGATCTAAGGGCTTTGGGGTTCAGGATTTGGGGGTTGTTGTGGATTGAACTTCGGAACAACTCTTGAGATGTGGACCTGGGCCGCTCCCTGTTGAAGGTCACATCTTTAGGGCTTAGAGGTTGCACGGGACTCAACAAGAGCATTTGAGTCGAGCAAGCTACGTACTCCCAAGAAGCACATTGCAGAATCAGAGCGTCTCGACACACGCAGTTCGCAGTCACTGCGAAATCTGTTTAGCATGCCATCTAAGCTGGATTATCCGAGGCGCAAGCCGGCTGTCCCATTCAACTTCTGTTCATGTTAAGTGTGCTCAGGCCTGCGCCTGTGAGCAAAGCGCCTCCGCCTGAGGCACCCAGATTTCAGCTGAGAATGCTCGGCGAATGCCGAAAGATAGCTGATCCTTGCAAGAGCAATGCTGGCCGCGGGTCGTCTTCAGGACATCCATGATATGTAGTGGATTCGAGTGGGTTGGAATTTTGGGTGCAAGATCGAATCCTTCAAGCTCTGTGGCATTGATGGAGACTCGTGGACACGGTAGGGCGTTAAGAGCTATGAAACGTGTTGGTTCCCAGGCCACAGGGAGGGCCTGTGGGGAAGTGCTGCCAGACGCTGCAGGTGGATGCAGCGGTCAAGAAGCCCACTGCTGCGAAGAGCAAGCCCAAAGCCAAGGCTAAGAATCTCGCAGCGTGGCTTGGCTTGAGTGAGACTGTTCAGCGGCGCGATTCAGCGGTGCAAGGTGTTGGTTGTTGGGGGCCCCGCAGGCTCCCAGACACACAGCCTTCCCGCTCAGCCCCCGAAGTTTCACAGACCGAAAGCACAGGCTTCCTGCTCCAGTCAAAGGCGAGCCATCGCAGGCCTTGTCCGGGTTGGTGAGGGGCATTGTGGTGTTGAGGGTTTAATGATTGAGGGGTGCTGCATTTCATCACAGCCAACTGCTGTGAAAGGGCTCTGGCGAGCAGCTCGCTGGCAGTGCGTGGCGGGCTGAGGGGCTGGCTGGGGCTCGACGGTGTGCTTGTCCACCAACTTTTACAGCCCGACTCGGTCGCAAATCTGAGCTGTCTTAGCAGTTTTACTTCGCAAGCCCCGAAGCCCAACAGGATCAGCAAGTTGCACCAGCAAAACACCCGACACAGTTCTTCCAGACCCACGACATGAGCATCAAAGGTTAGAAGACCAGCATAAAGGGAATTAGTTGTAGGCCGCTCTCCCGAGGCCCAAAGAAGCCGCCAAGCCTGTGGAGGCAGCCAAAGGCTCCAAGAGTAGGTTAGACTCTAGCATGCCGCATGCTGCAAGCGTTTTGGGAGTGAAGGAGGGCGGGGCTGGGCGAGCGGTCCGGGAACTGCACATGCTTCGATTGCATATAGTGGGCTGAACGTGATTTCCAAGCGTGGGTCTCCCAGCAGGTGTAAGAGGTGCAGGCAGCAGGTGCAAGGATCCATCCGCGTCAGGTAGCATTTTGACACACATGAAGATTCAGGCTCATGGTTTGTGATAGTGACACTTGATGGGGTTTTATTTTTGCAGATTTCAGGGCCAGGCGTTGCTGGGATGAACGCCTGAACCATATCCCCCCGACCTTCGAAGCCGAGTCGGCCTGCAATCGTTTAGGAACCGACAGCGACATCAACTAGCATCCTCGTGCTGTGGCAGTAGCCCTGAAATCCGAAGCATGCCTCCCAAACCCCGAAGTTCCCGAAGTGGCCGAAAGCACCCGCGAAAATGCCACGTCAGGTGAGCAGGCGAAGACCGAGGCAGAGGATGCCGCCAACAAGGCCCCACGCAACCTCCTATTCACGGAGTGCGCTTCGGAGTGTGCGAGGCGAGGTTCCCTCATATGGGATGTTCAGGTGCACTCGGGTTTCTCACACGCTGAACCGATGAAATTCGAGCGAGGCCTTGCCCGAAGCCTTATCTTCTGTGCCCGAGGTGGTGCCTGCTGCGGCTCGGGCCTGCAGTTATGGAAGTGGAAAGGGGGGGGGGGGGGGCGCTTATGCCTATGCGAAGCGACATGCAAAGAACTGGCTAGCATCGATCCTGCGGGTGACTCAAATCAAGGGGATTTCAGAAGTTCGGAGTTATCATACTGCGGGGGTTCTCGTGGCAGATGACTCCTTCCAGCTTTACCGGGGCCTCGAACTTGTAGCATTCTCAACTCGTGGTGGTCATGGTCGTTGTTCCGATCCTCGCAGGAAGTCCGGAAAGCCTGAAATTCAATAGCAGCGGTGCTCGAAAGCTTTGTGAGAAGCGAATGCTTCGACTAAGGATCCTCGCGCTGCTCATTGCTGCTACGACATGCTGCAGATCGACAGGACGGCCCCGCTGGAGCAGGCCCTGGCAGCCCGCTGCGCGGGGTAGGGTCCAGGGCATCGATCGGAGGGCTGCGCCCTGCGCATGGACCGGCTAGCCGTAACCAGTCCTGTGGGCCTGGAGAGGCTTCACAGCTATTTCCAGGCTTTCCGGCAGAACCTTCATCCCTCGATATCGGTGTTGGCTGCAGCACTCCAACTTTGTGGGCCGTAGAAACTTGACCTTGAACTTAATCTGGACCTAATATACGCTACACATCCGGTCCCTCAAACCATAACCAAGTTTAATAGTTTAACATCTTACACCAAGAGCCACTTCCGACAACCACACTTCCTCATCGGAGGTGAAGCGCGCCTATCGGTCCCTTGCAATCAAAATGCACCCGGACAAGGGCGGAAGCCATAAAGCATCTGGGTGGCAATGGGCAGGGTTTGGCTCGGATGATCTGCCGGGCACCGACACCACCGCGGCCAGAGCACTGCAGCAGTAGCAGTAGCAGCAGCAGCAGCAGCAGCAGCAGCAACAACAACAACAACAACAGCCACCACCACAACCACATCCACAGCAACAGCAACCACGACAACGACAACAACAACAACCACAACCACCA